CCGCTTAATTGGCATGATTTTTGTTTTTAAGCCTAAACATGTCTTGTTCTACTAATTCCTTACTTTACACGGGCTGAACGGCAGTCCATCATATAATATCCTTTTGCCGCTATACAGATGATTATAAGTTATGTACCAAGTAAATATCTAGTCCTAAAGTTCACATGCACTCACAACCACAGCCAGTGCTCCATTCAAACAGATAGCCACTACATTCTACAAGGCAGGTTTCTTGTTATACATGGCAGTAAGGGGGTAAACAACCTGGGCAGTGGTTCCCAAACTTTTTCTCCACTCAAATAACTCAGTGGTGTTTCAGAATTTGTGGTAAAATAAACAGAGACTAAGTAATTCTTCATTGGGTTTTGCTAACTTATTTACAAATACTTGATTATAATATAAATATAATGATCAGCTGATGATAAGTAGGGCACATGCTGTGTAGGTGATGCACAAGTTGTTGTTGTTGTTGTTTTTTTTGGGGGGAGAGGAACTTATCTGCTAGTGTTAGGTACAATTGTATGTGGAGAGGAACTTATCTGGTAGTGTTAGGTACAATTGTATGTGGAGAGGAACTTATCTGGTAGTGTTAGGTACAATCCTATGTGGTTGTAGAAAATTACTAGTTTCGTTTCAGTGGTTGTCACTAATCAAAGAGTGTTTGTAGAAATTTACCCCCTCCCCCCAATTAGCTTCAAAGTCTTGTTGTGGCTTATTACCATTAGCTTAAAAGTTTCAAATAACAAATGAGAGAAGGTTAAAGGTTGGGAAGCACTGCCTTTCAACACTTTCCACCTTCAACAGTTGCAGACAATATCACACAAATGCCACCAAGAGACTGGTATTTGAATCAAGTGAATTATGCAAGTGGTTTACACAACAGGTCCAAGCCAGAGGCCGTTACTATTATGAATGAGATGCCTCCCCTTGGCCGCTCTAAAATCCATCTCATAATATAACTTCAGTGTTTAACAACAAGAAAAACATTTGTATCTATTTTGTGTGTTTATTTGTGAACATAAGACTTTTCAGCCCAGGCCCCAAAATTACTGTTGGCTGCCCTTTACCTATAACAAATCTTCTAGATTAACAGCATGCCCACATTATATTATGAATTATAGATATCTAGAATGCTAGAAAATATAGCATTTATTAAATGACAAGGGTAAAAAAGAATAAAAAAAGACCCTAAATTGCCAAAATATTTTTTAAAACTGCAAATGCCTAGATAATTAATAAAAGTGGTTAAGTTTTATACGTATCAATATCAGTTTGCCCACACTACAAATAAATGATTCAGTTCCAAATTTAAAAAACCATCCACTTTTACTATGCAAAATATAATTATCTTCAACGCTGTTATTTTTAAACTTAAGATGCAGATTTTTAACACTGATATTTAGCCAGTGCTGTTCACAATTTCTAATTTTTCTTCAAAAACATTTCTACAAATAATTATCTATCTCATTTGGAGATTATAAAAAGTAATCTTTAAACACTTGTTTCCATACGACTTTTATGACATGAGGTACCAAGTGTGACCACTCTTCTCAAAATAAAAGTTTTGACAATGAACACACTACTTGGATTGATTCATTTCATTAAGTACAGAGACATCAAAGTGAACTAACAACACCCGCCAATAAATCTGCCCAACCAGTCAGTCTGAGAGAATTTCACCTCGACCTCATGAAGGCTTGACTTAAAGTCGATGTTACCTGCCCTGTTACCAGGGGTTTGGCCGGCCGTGCCCCCTTAAAATGTATACTTGTTGCCTCAAGTTTCTTAGTCTGAGTCGTGCACTTTTATTTTAGCAACAACATAAATTTTAAAAATTAACTTCTCAAAAAAAGGGACCAGCTCCTGCATGATAAGCTTTGTCCACCCCAAGTACAACATTTCTTAGCAGCCTGTCTTCAAATTATTCAACATGCTTACATGAGAAAACAAATTATTAAATAACCTATTATACAGAATTTTTAAAATATATATAATGTCTTGCCTCAAAATACTGTCTTCTATATCACTTAAAAGATTTTGACATGCCTGAAAAGAAATATGTACCCTATTGTTTAACAAAGTCAACTAAAATACATTTCAACTCTGACGACAGACCAACTTTTTGGACGTGGTATATATCAGTGATTGTTCACGGGTTTACACCAGGTTACCACACACTTTGACGAGTCTCCATCCATGCAGTGCCAATATCATCAGGAGCATTCCTGCATTCGTTCATACTGCTGTAGAGTTTAACTTAAACCACACAAGCCACATTTTGTACATTTCTATTTCAATGGTAATCAAGAGAACAAATATTGTTTTCTCCTTCGGTTAATGATATTTTACACTTCAATTTACATAATTTTTTCTCACCACTGCAAAACAAGAATAATGATAGTGTGCGTTATGCTTAAAATTTGAATCAATTTTTGATGCACAACTTCCAAAATCATAGCTTTAACCTGATCAAGTGCCGGACTTGAGCAGAACTTTGCCCAAACAAAAGTTCCAGTCACAACAAGTTTGCATAGACTGCACTCACAGGTCATGATGAAGTTAGGTGACAATGTGGATTGTGACGTTATTAAAACCTCACGTCCCAACATAAATAATGAATGTGCCCGTCACATATTTTTGTCTGCTAGAAATTTGTACAGAACTTTGTGCACTATTTAAGAGCTGCTCTCAAAATGAAATTTATAAACATTTGCTATCCAAACGCAGGAGTATACAGTTCTGATACCATCAGATATAAAATACTGCTCATGTGTATATATAAAAAAAAAAATAATAAAAATTAAACATCAAATCAAAATTGATTTCAAATAACAATAACCAAAGCTGCAATAGTCATGCTTACAAAGCCTTGTAGCTTAAAATTATTGTGAATAAACAATTTACAAACTGCATGTAAGAATACAGTTTGAACATTAATTTTTGACATTAAAGGAACTAGAAAATGTCAGTTTGCTCAAGGATTTGGTCATTAATGGGGTGCCTCTTGTTCACTTAAGTCCGATGGAATCAACTGTTCATTAATTTCAAACATTTTTTAACTAACCTTTTGATAAACTTACACAACATTTGACCACAGCTTTGAGAAGCACTGGTTGATTAATCCATATATGGTCCCTTCCCTAGAATAAATATAAAAGCCTCATGTATGACACGCCCTTAAGGACAAAGAACACCCACCAGGTGGCGCACGGCCCTAATGGATATGCTCACATGTAACAAAAGCACAGCTTTATGTGTTGATGTTTGTAATATTTGTACACAGCAACAGAATTTCTAATCAAGTGATCATGGTCTACCGCATGGTAGAACAACACCCACTGCACAAGTGCGCACACACACACATCAAGTCCTGGCAGTCTGCAGTGACCCCTCTCAGTGGCATTCCAAGCATTAATGTCGTTCAGTTCAATCAGTGATATAAAATCTCATGTAAAATAAATAAAGTTAATATAGCATAATTTGTACAGTAATATGCACAATTTGTTAATATGTATTTATGTATTTATGTATAAGAGCTTACATCTCTCAGCTGTCTCTTTCGCAAACCTTTTTTTTTTATACTATTAAATACATAATATTTTATGGGTTTATTTTGCGTTAAAAATTATTCAATATATTAGTCTCATTTCAATTTATTTAAAGAAAGAAAATTATTTTTATAGAAATCATAATATAATATCATATATATAAATATGAAAAAAAATCAATTTTCATAATCTAAAGTAATACCTGATTAACAAAGTTCCTTCTTGTTGTGTTTGTTTTGTGTTTTAACACGAGGTTAACTTTATATAACAGAGAACAAATATTTCACAACAATCAAGACTACACCCACTTGTTGAAGAAGTAAACTACAAGCACGCTTCTCTCAAGTGGCCTACAGAGAGAAGATATAGGACAGTAGAGATAAATACAAGTGGTCAGCTCCTAACAGGTGCAAACTGAAAGAGTCAGTGGTCAACCATGTCAATGGTCAACAATGTCAATTTATGTAGAGGGGGGGTGGGGGAGGATCAAAACTAACTATGAGCCATAACATTGTATAGCAAGTGTAATACATCAAAGCTTCTAGTAAAAAAAAAAAAAAAAAAAAAAAAAAAAAAAAAAAAAAAAAAAAAAAAAAAAAAAAAATGGGGGGGTGGGGGAAGATCAAAACTAACTATGAGCCATAACATTGTATAGCAAGTGTAATACATCAAAGCTTCTAGTAAAAAAAAAAAAAAAGGCAAAATCTGAATAGCACGATTAAATACCAGCAACAGAAATAGCAGCCAGATATAGCAAAGATTAAATTTATAAATTTTTTTTTAAAAGGGGCTTCCAATAATGGAAATACTGAACTGGTATTCTAAAACCAGCAACCATTAACAAAAATACTGAATACTGATAAGAAAATATTATTATGAAAATAAGTACTAGTGGCAAATCAACCACGTTTTCCCACCAGTCTAATAACGATGTTAGTACTGGGTGGTTTATCTTGTCCATGGGGTTTACAGCACCAAAACAGTCCTTCATTGGAAAAGCGTGTGCCGCATACAAGAGTTCTGAGAATCAGGAACTTGTTTGTTTCGTCCTATTTGTGTTTGGCATTATAACTTATAATCATAATAATCACAAATTACAACAAGTAGAGATTATCTGCCTATGCCTAGAGAGTATTTACTTCACTTTCATAACAAAACTGCTTCTATTCATCAACATTTTTTTTTAAACAGGACTCATCCACTTTCTTTGGATGTAAAAATATAATTTATGAGGTCAGTTTTGGCACATGAACTGCTTCTGGAGAGAACAAGCCAGGTGACAAATATTGAAAAGCTATTATAAAATTTATTAGATCTAAAATCCTAAAAACTCCACTTCTTGAGAAGATAAAAGCTAAACAATGAAACTCAGAAAGAAACAATCTTAAAGAAGTGACCCTATATTGGAAGCCCTAAATGCTATACATCATGAAAAGGGGGGGGGGGGGGGGATGGAGATCATCCTAGTGGACTCAATTAAAGCTATCAGGTTTGAATAGGTCATCACCTACCCCAATACAACAAAGAGGATTACCGAACACTTATCAATCAAGGGATTTATCTGACATCATGGCACAGGCCATTCATTTCAACACAGAACACGTCAAAGGCTTCAAATATATATAAATATATATAAGTTCAAGACACTATCCCACTTTTTTTTTTATTATCTCTCACATAAATTTAAATGCAAAGTTAAAGTTAAAAGTTAAAACGGTTGCATCTACTGGATGGAAATTAAGACTATTTAAAATACTATGACCATTGAATTGCAGTGAAAATTTTGTATTTTTATTTAGGGCTTTGTAAAACAAAAATGCCATAAAAACCAGTAACTGTGCATGTAGATGATGACAAGTCTATATTACAACAAGTGATAATTTTTACTTGTCTAAGTAGAGCCAGCTCTGGGGTCATTTCCTGAGCAAATCACCAAATCCTTACTTAACTGCAAAGACTCAGGCCTGCCACTAAGCAGACAATTGGACACCTTTGGACAACTGGTAATACACAGGGAAGTATAAGAAACCAGCCATCACCTGTGACTAGGATGAGATGCCACACTGTGAGAGCTAGACAAATGTTGACGATTCCTTTGACGACGATATAACAAAATCAAATTTGAAAAACAAAAAGCAAACACGTTTGTAAAATTAGTTACAATAAAAATTACACATCTGTTTTTTATAAACAACACAACAGGTATTAAATGTACACTGGGATATCTAAAATATTATTTGTATAATGCTTGCAATAATATACATAGTAGAATAAGTTAATGACAATCAAGAAATAGAAATTTAAAAAAAAATGTGGTTCAAGCTAAACAGTACTACCTTAACAAACTGTTGCATAACATTAATATAATGTTAACATATGAACTCTGCACAGGCAAACAGGACTAGATGATTTGTATATGCTGTTATGGATCTAGACTTGTGCTTCCCAAGTATGGTCAAACCATCACCCCACTATTTCAAAAAATTAATGTTTCCAGTTTTCATTAAGACTATGAAGCCAACAAAAAATAAAATATTTGAATCCCGTCTATCAAATCTCTGACATCATGTTGTAGTACCATTGCTCATCAATTGTCTAAAATGTCAAGACTCTTGTAAATTGCTGTGGATTCTGATCTTAACTGCACTACAATTTTTACCTTTCAGCCACTACATTTTTCCAACCCTTGAGCATATGTCCCAGAAAGTAGTTATTTTTGAGGATCCTCCTGATCCGGCCCACACCCGCACCACGCCCGCCTCCTACACCTAGAGCAAGTATCACTAAAATAATTGCAGCAGCTATTTACACCACACCAGTATCATACAAATAAACCTCTATGTACAACAACCTTGTCAAACAAGGGTATGGTATTTTTTTCATTCATTTCATGAGCTCCTATTTACACTTCAGCCCAGTCATACCTTTGTCACTAGTTTTCAGCTTCTATTTACAATCCAACTAGTTAAATCATAACAAGCTCCGCTGTACAGCATCCTTGCCCCATTCATCTCAACTCAACCCACCCCATGCAGCAGCATCTAACAGCTCCCACAGTTTGAGAACAACTGACCTACAGGACTAATTATACTAGAACCTGTAGCAAAAAAGAAAAAAAGGTGTCCATTGAATCTATTATTCAAGCCTTGCTACCATCATGCAAATAGTAGCTCTTCCACCCCTGCAGCATTCAAAACTCCTTTCACACAACCAACCTTACATTACAGCCTTTAAAGTCATCCCCCGTGCACAGATATCTCCAAATCTTTAACACACAGAGATTTGTCCTTTTGATCCTTGGCTAGAATTAAAGCACACAGCGATCTAAAATGTCCACAGTTGATATATTTGCTTGGATCACCGGTGGGCACCTTGAGCTTGGATTACACTTGATCGCCATCATAATAATGGCACTCTATATAAGATGTTGGCACGAAGCCTTCCAGGCCATCTGTCTTCCGCACTCTCGTCCAGCCGTCCCCTTGGTCCTGCTCCAAGATCTGCATTTCTTCATTTTCTCCCATGTTGACAGAACCTTCATTGACAGCTGAAAACAAAAAAAAACCATTACCCCAGTGCATAATTAACTATCAAAATACATAATTCTCTATCTAACAATGTCACTTACGCTACCAGATGGCGCCGACTTCACTAAATAAAATTCCCAATGACCGCATGAAATGAGACTCTTAAAAATACTGCAAGTGCATTAGGTGTGAAATATTTTCTTTTGTACTATGGAAAGTCTAAATTTAAAAACCCGTGTGATAAATTTGTGGTGTAAAGGGGGTGGGACATTAGAATATTAATAACAATTCAGGGGTGGTGGTGTGCCTAGGGGGGAGCACCGATTGGAAAGCTTATAAAGTGCATTACTACTTTGAATGCATGCTTTGTCAAGTTATTTTATAGATAGAAAGGTCGCGCATCACGGTTGCCATCATTAGGTGGGCTATAGCCAATAATAAAATAATTGAACATTTGAATGGCTATAACTAGTCCTGAGGAGGATTTCTCTCCCAGGATGCCTTATTATTTTTAGTCAACAAAATATTTCCCCGGAAATTTTCCCATCCCAGGTACACATTTTAAAATACAATATTCTTCTTTTATCATAACAGAGTACGCAAATGATATATATTATTTGATTTATAAAAAAAATTAATGTCTTTGTTTATCCATTAGTTCTATCAATTAACAAAGCAAACCTATCTATGCTATGGAATATTTTCATGTACATTTTTTTTAATTCATCAGTGTCTACAAAAATCTACATCAACACAGCATATCCCCAATGAGCACCACTGATTCATATTAAACTTTATCAAACAAGCTATGTCCCCTTAATTTTGGTTGTAAAAATGTCCTTTAGTAATGTACCTTGAAATGCATACAAGGCTCTGCATTTGCCAATCACAGGGAACATATCGAAGTCATCTTCCCCGTCCTCGTCACCGTCAATTGGTCTGAAATGTCAAATGGACTCATCAATCAGTACACATAAGAAACATCAAATAAAGTAAAACATGGACACGTTTAAAAATAATAACAATGGTGACATCCATCTCTAGAAGAAACAAACCGAGTCAAGCATGATCCCCCATGAACCATATTAAGTGACATGGATCCCAAATCAACTCATGTGTGATTATGTGAATTCCACTGATTTGAATTACATTTATGGGCCACATACTGAGACAGGAGTACTCACTGATAGACATTATGCTGATTGTGCGGTGTCCCGGGCGCCGAGACCTGCTGAATGTGTGGCGTGTCCCCGCTGCCTGAGGTGCTCAGTGAGTGGCTGTCCTCTGATGCGCTGTGTCTGCGTGATGACTTCCCCTCCACCTCAACCATGTAACCCTGACATCAAGAAATATCAAATTCAATTTATAATCTCATTTTACTGCTCAAGACCCTAACTTTAAAAAACAAAACAAGATGAAGCAAGTAGGATATATAGCAACATTTAGGAATAAAGATGTAAAACAAAGATAGGTTTGTCTCATTTAGGAACCAAGATGTAAAACAAACTATACTATATAGTAAAACAAAATAATATGTTCAAAAAGTAATTTGATTAAAAATTAGATCGTGTGAAATAAAAAAAAAAAATTAGACCAAACTTCCGTTGATCAATTTTCCGTTGACGAGATTTCTTTCCAAGAAATTTTCTGATACGAACAAAAATAGGTTGTCTCATTTGCGAATAAAGATGTAAAACAAAAATAGGTCTTTCATATTAAGTGCCTGTATAGAACCTAACCTTTTTTATTAAAAATAAAAGGGTATGGAGGGTGGATGGGGTGTTTCAATGGTACTTCATACTTCAATGTATTAGTGAGGATTCAAGAAGCAAATTTAAAAATGGAGAAAAGTTAATGTATATTTTTCTCCTGTGTTCAATGACAAAAATATAGATTTGTATACATTATTTTCCATGGTTTAATGAATTGGAGCTTACACTTAACTTATTCCTGGAGGTTGCGACTAAATGCGTCCTTTTGGGGTTCCGACGGAGGCACCCCAATGCAGTTCGGCTCATTGCGCCACACCTCTTTTACTTTTAGTTTAAAATAGCATTGAAATCTCTCATCCTTTGAGACTTCCACTGGTCATTGTTCATTTTTTTCCCGCCGTTAATGAATTTTTATTCAACGTTAGTCATTTCTGGATGGATTTACCCTTAATTCATTCAAATTAATATATATTTAGCAGCTTTAAAAAATATTGTACAAATGTAAATCAATTGCAAAACGGAGTTAATTCCCGTTCTCTGGCATATTGATATTATTGAAGTAAGGAAGTAGCACTGCCTTCTTAAGGAATGAGTTAAAATGGAAATAACTTGATATAATAACAAGATGCTTAATTTTAATTAAATGCATATAGAATTGGTTAAAAATAATAATAATAATATCTGACAGAACTGTTGAGAGTCAGGATTTTTTTCCATAATTATTCAACTTGGTCTAGAAGTTAACAAAAATTGCAATGTTATTAACATGATACCTCGTATTTCTGCAATTCTTGTCGAAGGTTATCCAGTTTTTGTGAGTTTTCTTCTATCTTCCTCTCTAATGTGCTGGGATCTCCCAAAGCAGGGTTACTGGCATACACATCTTTAAGTTTCATAATTCCTTCCCTAGGAGCAAACATCACAAATAGAAAATCATGTCAACTCATTTCAACAATTTCATTTTAAAACACACAAAACCCCCTAATTCTTCTCTAATAACTACAAGATGTGTGTGATACACACAAATAGAAACAAAATATTTCAGTCTTTTTCAATCAGCCAACTGGATCAATGCATCAGAAATGATGGGACAGAAAGGTTTTGGGTGTAAATTACATTCAACTTCTTATAAGGCTATGGCTTATATACCAAAGGAAAACAAGTGGTCTGGAAACGATGCAGAATCCTTTTGTCTCAAAAGGCACAACACAAGACCAAAAATACTCTTTTTTTTTTTTTAAAAAGTCATAGCTACTGAAAACCAGGAATGAGGACAAGCAGCAACTAAAACTGAAACAAAACACACTGGCAATAAAGAGTTACATAGTGAAGTCAATAGTGGTCAATGCAAGTTATTTAATTTCCCTTTCTTTGGGAGGTCATTCTGGAAATGAAGAGCTATCTAAACAAAGGTCCCGTCTCACCTTTCCTGTTGTTCTTTATGCATCTCTTTCTTAAGGCTGTCTATTTTCTGCTGCAGTTTACGCCGCCTCTGATTAGGTGGGAGATCACTGAAGTCCTCTCTTTGTTCATCAACCTAGAGAGTAAGAAGTTAACGCATCAGTCTATGGACAAAGTCTCACCTAAGGCAACCATTTAATTCCTTAGAAATATTTACTCGAAGAAAAGTCAGAGGATCAAAGCAGGAAGGATTACAATATTACTTCCCACTAGAATCTAAGACATCAACAATGAAATATTTGTTTCTAAGAAAACAATGGTAACTTTTATGTATTTATTTTCTAATGATCACATTCACATATAGATACGCAGCATAAAGAAAAGGGGGACAGCAAATTGATTGATCCAAGAAAAAAAACAACAATAATTTCTTAACATTTTTAGAAAGAAAAGAAGGTTTAACCAAAAGGGATGCTTAGAAATATAAAGTTCATTGAGGCTTTTAATAAGTAATTTTTGTTAATTGATAAGCTATTCACTTTGAGGAAAATAGAAAGAAAATAAACATTGTTAAAAAAAAACAGCTTAGCCCTTACTTCTCTTAAGTACTAATTAAGTCTATTTTTAAGATTTATAATTTTACTATAGTGCCAGGAATTACAACAAACTTTTCAAAATTCTTTTATGATGGTATTTTTACAAAATTTACAGCCAAGTAACAGAAAGATTCCCAAAGTGAAGTGAAAAGGTAACATGATGGATCTGTGCACAATTTGAAAACTGGACAATAAATAATTATTGATAATAAAATCTCAGTTATAATAAAAAATATCTCCATTTCTGCAGATCCAAAAAAAAGTGAGGAAGATTTAAATGGATAAATAAAATGGACCTTTATATATTTATATATATATATTCCAAACACCCAAATCTTTGTTTACATGAGGATGTAGGAGAATGCATATTTTACATGTATGTATTATAAACTGAGATTTTACATCAAAACCAATTTATAGCATGCATATAACTATTAAATTATTCAGTTTAGTTGTAAACTTAAAATTGTAACAGAATGAGCTTCAAAATTTGCAATTAGTTTGGTTTTAACTACATTTTTTTGTAACATTCTCCCTTCCTCATGAGTAAAGGATCAGTTGATATATTATTACGTAGAAGTGCCGACATAATTATAAGAGTGCCAGGTGTATTTGAAGGCAGTACCCTTCGGAAAATGCTAGTGTTATGGAAAGGAGAATGAAAATAATCATACATTTTGAAAGCAGTCTTGGGCGGCTTTGTTTTGGTTAAAATCATGATGCTACATGTTATATGCACTGCCATGAATCATTCTGAGTGTGAATGACCATCAAGAAGGGAGGGGGGAGTTAAGACCGAAAGAAGATGTCAGCACAAATCACAATGGAGTTTTGGTAAGCCAGGTGCATGCACAATGATTCAGTAACAATGTTAGCATTGATGTAATTAATATAAGGAGCTTTAAAAATGTCTTGAAGAATATTATTTAAGAATTGAAACTTATCTCTGACTCCATTGTAAAATATGGGATGGAATTAGAGTTTAACTGATCAATGCATAGATATATTTGTGTTTGGAAATTGTCCTTTTTTTGGCAGAGTGAAGATACAATTGTTAACCAGTTGTTCAAAATTAAATCTGTACAGTTTCACCAAAATTCAAAAATGTTATAAATAGAAGTACCCGGCAGATTAGACAAAGGGAAGATAGCACTAAATTAAGATTGTTCAACCCGTTGTAATTATTACCATAAGCTTACTACCTGGAACCCAAACATTAGCTCAATAATGGTAATAAGTTATGAAAAAATATTCTAATAAATTCAACAAGTCTTTACAATGCACATTTTTAAAGCACAATACATGACCATACTAATTAATTATTGGTTGAAGTAGTGACACCTGTTAATTGGTAACTGGCTAATCAGTGCTACCTTTGGTGCAATATGCTGTCTTAGCTTACCCAAGTATTCTATTGACAATTTTGTAATTGGAAAAACATAATGGGTATAACACTGCACCATTTAATAGCAACAGAAAATGTGTTGTCAGAAGAAGTGAATGCTACCCAACCAGAGATTATTTCAATGGACTTACGCTCACACACATCTTCCAAGAATAGGAAATATTTTTCTGCAATTAGGTCCAAGAGCTTTTAGTAAGAATGTTAGAAGACAGTGTTATATTATACTTATAGCACTAAACAGGGATAATCTGCTCCTAACTAGTAGCGGAGAAGAAAATGTACCACATGCAGGGCTGTGCCAAGGAAAAACTGCATAACTAGCAAAGACTGAATTTTAACTCAACCTTTCAAAAATATTTTAAACTGTTTAATAATGTTTTGGCACCATTTGATCCCCTGATTAGCATGGCCCCACCCACATGGCTGGCAATCTATATTTAAGTAAAACCTGCCCACAAGGCTGACAATCTATATTCAAGTAAAACCTGCCCACAAGGCTGGCAACCTATATTCAAGTAAAACCTGCCCACTAGGCTGGCAACCTATATTCAAGTAAAACCTGCCTACAAGGCTGGCAACCTATATTCAAGCAAAACCTGCCCATAAGACTGGCAACTTATATTCAACTAAAATCTGCCCACACCAATTGTATTTAATGTTTTGAAATGTATAACATTGTTTTAATTTGTACAGAATACGACAATCACAGGGTCTTAAGTTCCCAGGGGCAAATTATTGTAACTATTTAAAGATCAGCTTATAACATTCTAATTTTGAACACACAAAAATCCTGTATGAGCAGTAATGAATGAGGTTTGATCTTTCATAGGAGTGTTTGATACAAGCACTGATGCAAGAAAATTTATTTTCACCAGAAGCCACATGATGTGACTGAGGCAGTACATATATTTGTGACATCAGAGCTTTAGCAGACGTGTAACGGTAAGCGAAATAGTGAGAGTAGAAGGCTAGTGTTGGCTATTGTGTGTAGATATAAGTTTGTACCTGTGGATTGTAAATTCTTCCCCCAGGGCCCTGAATGAAGAACATGGACAAGATGTAATGGAAACAACTATATGTATTAAATGATGGAATGACAATTATTGTGATAATAAATCTGATTCTGATAAATATACTATTGTCGGTAGTGTTCCTGTAATAAAACAACATCGAGAGAGCAAAATGTGTCACCTGCGACCTATCTGGAGATAAAATAACCCTATATATAAAGGAGACTTTTCTGTGTATCTGTTTTTACAAAAATTATGACATATATTATCAACTGATTATTTTTGTACAGCTCATGGAACTGAATGTGCGCTATTTATTAGAAGGAAAAAAAAAAACAGTTACTCCACTTAATGCCTTGAATGCCAACCGAACTCATCAATACTCTTTTGATAATAAAAAAAAAAATGAAAAGGTGCATCATAAAATGGGAGTTGAATCTAAACTTTGCTCAGCAGACACCAAGAGTTGTTATTATTTAAGGGAAAAAACAAATATGGAAATCTCAAAATTTGATTTTAATTATGATGTAGGGAAGGATTCATAACCACTTTTTAAAAAAAAATGCATAAACAACAATTGAGAATGTTAAGGATGCATATTGGCAACATGACATCTACTACATCTACATATTTATGTGGTGTGGCGGTCAGGACACAAAGAAATGGATACTTACTTTTCCCTTTTGAGAAAAGGTAAGAGGAAGAAGAACGATATGAAAGCTTATTGGTGAATATTATATTTCAAAAACAGCGAAGGGTGGATTGCCTCGGCTATTTGATCCACTTTCCACTAAAAAATCAAGGCAACTAAGATGGACATGAATTTCCCCTGAAGCTAGTTCACAATTTATATAGAAAAATAAAATCCACCTGGTTACTGAATAGTAAAATCTTCATTAATTTGTAAAATGCAGAGTTATCAACACAGATCAATTGTCATTCACAATAATTGAGTTTTATCAAGTAAGAATACAATTTATTTCTATAATTTTCAAAAAATTTCAACACAAGATGTTAGCCAACTTTACTAAAATCTTATGTCACTGATTAATCATGAGAAATTCATGTCATCGACTAATCATAAGAAAATCAGACTTAAATTCATGTAATTAAATATATAGTTATATTTTGTTAAGTTATATTTTACATGTTTATTTAGTGTTATTTTAGTGAATGGATTATGCTACTAATGAGGTCTTTTCCCCATGCTTTGTAATTCATTACCTTGGAAGAGCCAAACAATCCAAATATTCCTCCCCTCTTCTTGGATTTACCAGATAAAGTTGCACTTTTGACTGTGTTGGACGGTGTGGTGATGCGGGAAGGAAGGGTGTTGCTGGTGGGCTCCATGGGCTGAGCATTGTTCATATCTTCAAACGGGAGGTCTTGAGGGATATTAAAACCAGATTTATATCGATCTATCACGGATTTACTATCCTGAAGACAGAAAAGGTTGGAGTAAAAAAGAAATAAGAAAAGATTAGCATCAATGCCACGCCAATCTAATGTGTTTTAAAAAAAACACTAAAACTTACTGATAAAGTCAATTCCTCTTAGCCCATTAAATAAAATTTTACACAGTGCATTGTGAGTATTTTTCAATATTAATTATTTGTTGTGAAGATAGACGTGATATTTTTTGTTGTGAAGATAGACCTGTAATATTTTTTTGTTGTGAAGATAGACCTGTGATATTTTTTTGAAGTTCAGATATTTTATCTGAGTATAACTCCTGCATTTTTATTTTTACATTTTAAAGCACATATTAACAACCTGAATATATTTTAAGATTATGTGAGCATATTATGATAAGCAGTATCTCACTTGAGTGGCATTTATGCTACCGGCAGCCTTGGCTATTCCTTCTATACAAGTGTTAATGATGGGTATGACATTCTTCTCTATCTCAGCACATTGAAATACACACTCCTGAATCTTTGTTATCCTCTTCTCGTCCATGTCTTGGAGACTCTGAAACAAGAATAAAGTTTTAGTATGTAGGTGTAATAAATAAATATTTTAGATAACAGAAATGACCTGTCAAAATAAAGTAACTAGAATACAATTTTACAGCACAAGAAATGTTAAAAAATGTATTTTTAACTTCTATGTGTATTATATGTGGGTCATTTGCTGGAGAGCATTCTACTGGAAACAACCCCTAACTTATTTCAAATATGTGCAGAAATAAAAAACATGCCTGTGTTTAAACAAGGGGGCACCACTTCAATATTAACAAATATTACCACTCTTTGACAATGCTCATATAGTACCCAATTGGTAGTCAGAAGATCAGATTAATATTTCCTCAAACATAACTCAGTAAAAATTCTTGAAATATAAACATACAATTGTTCAATTGTTTTCTCTTTAAAAAAACAACTGTAAAGCTTTTAAAATGGTCCAATGAGACGGTGAATATTTGTCAAAGCAGGTTTAAATGAATACAATAGCATGTCTGTCTCAGAACCAGGAGGTAGTGGGTTTAAATGAATATAGGGTCACCCCACACTGTAAGCGAATAGAAATGTGGAATACTCAACAGTTATTCTTGGGAAGGAGTAAAAAAAAAAAAAAACAGCCACCAAAGAAGAGGACAGAAACCAACTTGGAGAGTGATAAAAATCGGTGGCCAACACCATGCTTATCAACCTTTTTTTATTGTAATGGAACCCTTTAAATCATTTAGATTGCTTGCGGAAACCCACCAGTGACAAGGGTTTGTTCTATTCCAAATGGTTCTTCTGCCCAAGTGAATCCCATAGCCAAGTAATTGTCACTATTTTAGTTTGGTTGTCAGCACAGGCATTGTCTAATTTTCTCTACCTAATTAATCAGTCCATGGTCACGCAAAACAACGTTATGAAAATTAATTCAAACTCTAAATATTAATTAGGACAAAAACGTCAACTGCACAAAAAATAACTAATTACAGCACAGCCCAGGTACTGTCAGACTTAAACCTTGGCGATTCCAGATATTATTTTTATTACTTTACTGGCCATCAACGAAACCCCAGGCTGGCACACACCAAACCCCAGGATGGCACACATGAAACCCCAGGCTGGCACACATGAAACCCCAGGCTGGCACACATGAAACCCAAGGCTGGCACACACCAAACCCCAGGCTGGCACACATGAAACCACAGGCTGGCACACACGAAACCCCAGGCTCGCACACATCAAACCACAGGCTGGCACATCTGGCAAACATAAAACCCCAGGCTGGCACACATGAAACCCCAGGCTGGCACACACCAAACCCCAGGCTGGCACACATGAAACCACAGGCTGGCACACATGAAACCCCAGGCTAGCACACATGAAACCACAGGCTGGCACACACCAAACCACAGACTGGCACACACCAAACCCCAGGCTGGTACACACAAAATCCCAGGCTGGCACACACAAAATCCCAGGCTGGTACACACCAAACCCCAGGCTAGCACACACAAAACCCCAGGCTGGCACACACGAAACCCCAGGCTGGCACACACCAAAGCCCAGGCTGGCACACACCAAAGCCCAGGCTGGCACACGCGAAACCCTTAGGTTCTGTGGAACCCCTTTTGAAAATCACTGGCATACACTCTCAAAACACAATAAGCCAAAAGAATGAAAGAAGGGTCACTACTATGTGATATTCTCCATTTACAATCAGTAGGAAGAAAATAAAGTATAGTAATTCTTCAAATTAGGTCTTCTCAGGCACTATAATTCGTCTGCAAACTTATTTTATGGCTGTGCTTCACACTTCTCAATTACATTTTGCCTTTTTTTTTTTTCAGTAATAATTTTTGAAATTAAAATTTGCAATATAAAAATAAAAAAATTGAAATGTCAAGTTACCAAAGGAATTAATAATTACCCACCCAACAATATGAAAAAAAGAAAGTAAAAGATTATATAAATAAGGGCTACCTGAAAGACCTGAGGCATTGTCTGCACATAAAACTCTCTCTGGGCTGCATTGAATTGTTCTCTTTGAGTGGCATACTCACTCTTACAGTCATCATTCTGCTGCACTTTAGAGTTCATGACCATACGATACTGAAACAAAACACAATCTTTGTTCATTTACTGTTTGACCACCAGACAATTCCTGTATTCATTCATAAAATTAACTTCAACTTATGTCAGGAAAACAATTATTGTCTGTTTACTGACCATTTTAAATGGTTTTTAAATGATCATTACACCGGGAACTTTCGATAGAATTTATAGGAACTGAATATAAAATGTGACAATAAGTTCAGAATAACCAGAGTAAAATTCCCTTAAGGTTGATAATATTATTTACCTTCTCCACTTCTGCACTAGACGATAATATTATTTACCTTTTCCACCTATGCTCTAGACAAATTGATATTATTATTTACTTTTTCCACCTTTGCATTAGACAAGTTGATATTATTATTTACCTTCTCCACTTCTGCTCTAGACAAGTTGATAATATTATTTACCTTTTCCCCCTCTGCTCTAGACAAGTTGGTAATATTAATTACCTTCTCCACCTCTGCTCTAGACAAGTTAATATTATTATTTACCTTTTCCACCTCTGCTCTAGACAAGTTGATATCAGCATCAGCTTTCCTATAGTTGTCTAAAGCTTTCTCTGCTTCAAAGTGAGACCTCTCATATTTTCTTTTTGCCTAAGACAAAATTATATATTATATACACATACATATTGAATGAGGATAATGTAATTTCGATTGTAAAATAACAATTTTAGTGACTTTTTTGTTGTGATTTTGCACTATCACAGATCTGGTTACCATGGAACTCTCAAAATAGTACAATATCATTTCAGAATAGTACTTTAAAATCTCAAATCATACGATACAGTGTCCAAGTAGTAAATAAGTAAACATACGGTATCATGCATAAAATAGCTGCTAACACTACATGTGTACAAAAGTAGATGACTGACATTGGTATTTTTGTATACAGTGCTTTATAATTTTAAAGAAAATAAAAAGGTAACAGATAATTTTAAAGAAAATAAAAAGGTAACAGTCATTGCCATTTTGATTCGCATACAAGGAGGTGGGGGGCGCAGAGTCGCATAATTTTTTTAATGAATTTAAAATGAAGGTATGCACTTTGGTGTATAACTGAATTTAGTTTTGCATCATTCTAAACTTAATCAGAGAGCAACTGAAGAAATGCTTGTGCACAATGAGGTTTCCTTTACCTGGCTGCTTATGTAAATCATTTTGTTTTAGTTGATACCATAATTATAGAATAATTGTTTTATAGTTTTTTTTTTAAATTTGAGATTTCTTATATTAATGTTCTTCAAAAACAGTAAACAAAAGGAGCAGGTAAACTCAAATGGCACATACTGTATCATAAAAGTGACGTATATATTCCAAATGTGCTTTTTTGCCAAGAATGAAAGTAATAGCTAATTGATTTGAATAAAGAATTAAGTTCATTTGTGATACACTATATTTTACGTGGCTGGCCGCAGGTTGGCCATACCTGCAATCAGCCTTGAAGCCTCATTTTATTTCCCTTATTCCATAAACATATAACTACCGCAAGCCATATGTGGAGAAGGGAAGTAGCGGGGTATTTACATTGTCAGGTGCTTAGTGACGTCTAAATATATACTTCAAATGCAGCTTACAAGATCTTATAAAATGTCAGTAAAGCTGCTGTGCAGAGCAGCTGAAAAATTCTTTTTTTTAAATGTTCAAAAGTAATCCGCAGTTGTCCATAACAACTTGTATTTTTCAGTCCATTCGCCGCTGGATGTAGAAAGGACCTAAACCCAACAACCAAAACTGTTTTTTTTTTTAAATATGGAAAAAACTATGTGGATATTTTTTAAAATCAGATCTCTTAAAATCGTAGTTCTGACAGGTCTCTGCGAACAATCATAAATGGCTTCTCAAAATTGTACATTGTATACCAAAATCGTAAGAGTAAGCAGGTGAGCTATCAAATTTACAATGTGACATAGGCTGATTTAAACCTTATCATTACAAATTATAAAATCATACTTAAAAAATAAAAACGTATTGTCTTTTAATCCTTTAAGTCAAAGCAACTTATTTCACTTCAACACTAAGAAATATTTCAATTATGAAATGCCACTCAAAGTCCCATATACTAAATAGCAAATAAAATATATAAATAAGCTTACCTTTTCTAAGGTTTGTTGGCAAGCCCTCAAAGATTCTTGTAGTTTAGCACCATCTTGAAGATACTGGGGGAAAAAATTAAATAGTAGTTTCTTTTTTTTTTTTTTTTTTTTTACAAATAAACAATTTAATGTAAGAACATTTTTATATTATAACCTATGACTTGGCCCCCTTCGAATGCATTCTGTTAATTCTTCACTAGATCATTCTGATTTGGTACTTATAAATATGCTGCCTGCTTCCTTAGCAGATAGAGCAAGAGAGATGTATGCTATATTTCTTTTGCTATATGAAACGTTATATTGTGGGTGTAAATTAATATTTGCATTTTGACGAGTGTTCCTTTTCCACCAGCTGTAAGGTTATGTACTTTTTTTTCCCTGTTTATTTGAATGTGGATATGTAAAGAAATTTATTTGTATAATTAAATAAAATATTTTTAGTATTACTAGCTTTGGTATCGATGTCTTTGCATGGCGTTTTTCTCAGTCCTTTGTTACATGTCGTTTATTATAGGAGCCAAATCTTAAAACAGAATAAATCTTCCAAACCATGTTACGTAACAAACAAACTTAGGAAATTTAGAATGAACATGGTTCCAACAAGTATTAAGCCGACTACCTTTTTTCTGTCTGTCTTCAACTCCAGCACCAGGTCTGTGAGATTCTTACTCACTGTAGCTTGTAGGTTCTCTGCCACAACTTCATGCTGGCTGGCCATGTCATGGACTTCATTCAGCATTTTGAGAAAAGCTCTTGACCAAGTAAATCTGAAAGGTGCATGTTGTACGTGTTTTTTTTAAAAATCTTCTATAAATGATGTACGGGAAATCATGTTGGGATAATGCTGCTCTTGTTTTAAAAAGGGAACTCTGCAACCTTTTACTATCTTATCAATGAATAAAATGTAATTTGATAATCATGGCTTAATTTAAAAAATGATGAGACCAATTTTCAAATTTTCTGTAACAGAATGTCCAGAAGTGTTGCACTGTATTTAATAGATTACCTCATTTTTAGTGAAGAATGTATGTGGGAATGAAAGCATTGAGCTAAGAAATAAACTTTTCCAAAGCAACATTAAATAAAAAAATATTAATCTTTAATTTGCAATTCAAAAAAAGAAGGATTTGAGATATCTTCATGGATTCTTTGCTGCTTTGTTCATAATAAATTATTTATTAACTAGTTCTGATATCTGAATCTAAATTATCCAACTAATGAATTAATTAAAATTAACTTACGAAAATTCCTCTTCTTCCTTTTTCTTGGGGTTGAAATTCTTAACCAGCCGTCTGAAATAATGAAATTTGATCAAATTTAACAAACCCAGACAAAGCTGTGAAAGTATAGCAGTAAATAGCAGACCAGTTGGTAAAACAATTAAAGAAAAGCACCACCATAAATTATTTTTTTTTAATTCAGTTTAACACACTGCATCTTAAGGCCCATAGTATTTTCAATTCTCAATAATAAAAAAAGATAACACTCCTACAGGTAGCACCAAAGTAGTGGTAGTCAATTACAACACAGAATTCACTTAAAACATTAGCAAAAAAACAAATGAAATAAATAAATGTATACAAGGACATTAAATGAATTGTTTTATCTTTTTTTTTAAATAGGTAACAGCCGACTGCACAGTACTGCATGGGATTACCAAGAGTTATAAAGCAGTAATGCATGGGATCACCAAGAGTTATAAAACAATCAACTTGACTTGCTTGGAGTGAGAGCAATAAACAGATCTCATGGGCAACAAGTTGTTCCTTCTAACTTCTAATTAGCGTCAGTTTTCACAGTTTAGACCTGCAGGGACAGGCCAATGTGACTTAATTTTAAACCCAAGAGCACATGAAGTTTCTAGCAATAAATAAGGACCACATCTAGTAAATACTGTTGTTTTTTTTTAATTGCAAAAAGAAGAAAGCAAAATAGGTTTCAATATTTTTTTATTATGAAATATTGATATGGCCCTTCTTGCAATCAAGGCACATAAATGTGTGACCTCTTCCTATGACTATTGCTAATGGTACAAGAGGTCACATTACTCAGTAACGATTACTCAGGTCTATCTTCTAGCCCCTTCACCATACAATCTATTCACTAGGCCGTCTGATAAATTATATCTTAATCCTTATTAGGTACTTGGGAAGTTGCTAATTAGAGAAAAAAAGAAAACAAACTATAATAACTTATTCAAAAAGGTTTACATAAAGAACAAATTAAACTTATATTATTTTTGCAAATCATATTATGGAAACCTTGAGCCAGCAAAGGAGTGAAAAACTGGCCACTTGTAATCTCAAGTGGCTTGAAGTGTGAAAGGGAATACTACACTACTTAAACATTACAAGGAGGTCAGAAGGTCATACTTCATGGTATACAGACAAACTACTATTATAAAAATAGTTGCCACCTAAGTTGTAGTAGGCACATCAGTTGAGTTACATATCTCAGATTGTATCTGTCTTTAATGTGCTATTAATCTTCACACAATGGAAACTATACTTTTATCAACAAGATTTAAAGTCCAGATGGTCTGTATTTCTTTCAGTATGTTTTTTGTCATGGTGATGACCTCAGACAGTGTTGGTGAAACCATTGTAAGCAGCAGATGTGAGCCGGTCCGGGTGCCCATGTGCCAGGGTTTGGTTCAGTACAATGCCACCAAGCTGCCCAATAAGTTTGGGCACACAACTCAGAGTCAGGTGTACTGGGCTCTGCAGCCGTGGTGGCCATTTGTTGACGCTGGGTGCTCTGACAATCTGAGGAACTTCCTCTGCAGCCTCTATCTACCAAAATGTGTCGGAGATGACCAGGAGCCCCACTACCCCTGTGTTGAAACATGCAAAAAAGCCAAAGTGAAGTGTAAGAAGCTAATGAGACTGCAGAACACAAAGTGGGGCAAAGACTTCAAGTGTGCCAAGCTGCTGCCCAAGGATTCCCACAGGTGCATCAAGCCAGAAAGAGAAGGCAAAAAGAAACAAAACAAGGAGCAAGTGTTGTGCCAAAAAAACCCTCTGCCCATGTGTCAGGGCATACCACTCCCTTTGGGTTCTTTACCCAATATCTTTTTGCAGGTGAAGCATCGAATTGTGTCATTATAATTGGATTTATTACTGACTCTCTTAGTTTTACAACTTTGTTTAAAAGATGCTGAGTGTGCTGATGGTGTGTGTAAAAGATATTTTTATTTTCCAGTTAGCAATAAGCTTTATAAGACTACTTCTTGCCACCCACAGGGCGATCCCAATGAGATAGCACAAGAGATGAGACAGTACCAATCACTTGTGGACAGTGGCTGCTCCAAGAAGTTACAGGTATTCCTGTGTGGTGTTTACATGCCCTACTGTGTGGATGGCCAGCCGGGCCAGACTGATGCCAGCCGTGAACACAAGAACCTGGTCAACAAAATACCCTTTGTGCTGCCATGTAAAGAGCTGTGTCAGGTAAGTTGCTCTTACAGCATCAGTCAGAAATCATATACTAATACATAATACATTTTGAATTATTTTATAAGGTAAAATATAATTGAAAAGTAAAATATAGCCTTTTCAGGTTTTTAAAAAAAAAACAATATGCTTGAGCCATTTGACCTATACATAATACATAACATGCGTACAAAAAAGAATGGTTAATTTTAACAACAGGGGCCTTGTCATATTTTAAGCTCAGATATTAAAATGGATTTAACAGCCTTTGAGCTTAGTTTATTTTTCAAAAATGACGTTTGCCAGATAATTTGTAAGTATATAAGCTACAATAGGAAGATGAAAGAAAATCAAGGAGGATAAAATGCTCATCCATCCCATCTTATTTTCAGGAGGTTTATGATCAGTGTAGTGGAGAATATCAACAAAGGACTCATGGTCTCCCCTGGCCAGCAAAATTCCACTGTCACAGATTCTCTGCATATGCAGACCGCTACCCAAGTAACACAACCACCACTCCTCCCGGTGGTGATGACGAGAAGGGGCCTTACGTACCTTGCACAATGCCACCTTTCAACATCAAAGAAAATTAACTCCTCCCCTATATGTAGAATTTACATGCTTGTGTTATTTTTAAACGCTCAACTTTTGTATTTTGTATTTTTTTTTCAATCTATTTCACCAGCATTCTATAGACAATAAAACCTGAAGTAAATAGAGCTTTCTATTCGAATATGTACTTCTTAAGGTACCCAGAAAATTATATTATAAAAAATATATTTTGTCCTTCAAATAATGTAATTGAGACTTGAATGTGCAACACAAAAAAGGCTGATAAGATAAACAACACCATGTGATTATGCTGTGCTTTACTGGAGAAACTATAGTAAGATCTAAAAGTGTCATAGAGGAAGTAAAAAAAAACATTTTGAAGAATGGTTTAACAGGGCAATTGTACATGGTTAATACCTTTTAGAAACAGTAACAAACCAGGAAATATTATTAACTGACAATGACATGAGCTTGTGATGTCAAGTAACAGAGCTTCATGTCAAATTAATTTCTTACTTTAAGCAACAAGATGTTTCCCCATACGTTAAAATTGAATTAAGCTTTTAGGCTGAAGAATTTTAAATAAAAGATACAATCTTGAACACTAATTCATTAAATAATTTATTTTTTAACTTATCAGGTAAAGAGGCTATCAAAACAGTGTGATCTAATTACAATTGGCCACATTTTAACTCAAAATGCCCCCCAGGCACTTGGGGATTGGCAAAGGGGATTTCACTGATAGCTACTGGCAGATATTTTTATGTAAAAGTTTCTTAAAGCACACAGATTAAATTGAATGTCACGCACGACTCAGATTATTTTTGGGGTGCTTTTATCTATTGTATTAAATGACTGCATCTTTCAATTAAAAAAATAATTCACAAACAGATTTTCAGCCTTAAAAGTATATTGGTTTCAGTTTACATACTGATGTGAAAACAAATAAAAGACCTTGAGTTAAAACATTTCTGTGTGCACTGCCCTATTCAGAAATGGAAACTGTTAAATGCATGTTCAACCGTAAGTCAAAGATTACACACTAGATTTAATAAATACATGTTACAGAGTTGGTCAAAAGCATGTAAGATTTTTTTTTTTTTTAAACTTTAAATTTCTTGCTAAAAAATTCTTACTTAAGTTTGCTGGCATATTCCAACTCTACTGCTGTCCTCTCCTTCAAGAAATGCATGTAGCGCTCACAGAAATCAATGCCTTTCTGCGTGTGACCGCTCACATTTTCCCATTGGTCCTGGAATATAACAAGCACATATTTAAAAATTTAAGGAAATAAACATATAAAAAAACAAGGAGTGTTGCATTGCACTGCAACCATTTATCCAAAAACTCAAAGTTTTGATAGGCCTATAAGCAACAGAGAAACATGAAGGCCCAATTAAATTTGTATTGCCGTTAGTTGCTCAAAGGCTGTTTTTAAATAATTGCTTATCCAAAGTGGTGTGTGAGAGAACACTTTATGAAGGTTTTAAAATATGAATGTTTTTTTTTTTAAACCTGATAAATTTAAGGTTTAATTCTCTAAAGAAAATTTAAATAGTGCTTATGCAAACCAACATTCATACATAAATTTTTATTCAGCAAAAAAACATGTCTGATACATTTTAATTAATTAAACACTTATTTGGTGACTTAAAGCACAATAATATTTTATAGTAAGGTTAGACCCAGACCCTTTATTAAACAAGAAAATTATAATGTTTAAATAATAGCATTATCCAGCACCATAATCACATTGGCTGATAATTGGTCAATAAGCAGAGCTACATTGTAGGTCATTTGTTGGATTTCAGAATTGAATGAAATTATAAAGCTAATTTTTGCATTACAGGGAGCAAGAGCAAATGGTTATTTTAACAAAGGGAAACATAAGTAAGGGGTTCTCTGGTTTCATAAATATTTGAAACTTGCCCCTGCACCTAGGCCATTGTCCTCTTGACTACCACCAACTAAAGTAGACCCGCATTGGCAAAGTTTTGTTGTAAACATCTGCTACAAGATTTCATTACCTAAAATATTATATTTGCCATCAATGTATCTCTTCATCATGCCAAAAATGTGCCCTGTTGTCTAAAATGGTCTTTAGTTAAAGAATTATTTCAATGTATTAAAACATTATAACCAACAACAACAAAAAATCAATAAAAAACCATCCTTACAAAAAAAAAAAAAAATATTATAAACATTCTTCATTGGGTAGTAACATTAGGAATTATTTTAAATACAATTAAGAGCTAGTCAGGTGGAATGGACTCCTCAGCACAGTAAAACAAGAATATGGGCCCATGGGTGGGAGTAAACCCTGAGTAAAAGAAAGACCACCACAGGGATTAATTTAACCAGGCTGGTGGCTTGCTGAAGTAACAACTGCTATCTACTGGGCCATCCTGGGCAAAGAAAGATTCTATGCCAGTTGGATGTAATTTTTCTCAACAAATGAGTTACACTACAGCTGTCAAAATTAATCCAGTACTAGGTTTACAAAGATGCCTATATGGGTATGTTCACACTGTGAATTTCTTTCTGACAACCTCAATGTCGTTGCAATACAAACTGCAAGATTTCTGAGAGCGTGTACTAGTGGTAACAAAAACGGGACAAGTAGGTTTCATTATCACAGGTTTGGTATGTTTTGCAGTACATTGTCTGCTGGCAACATAACATTAAAAAAAAAACAATGCCTAAATTTTTATAAATGCCCATGCGTTATCATCAGCTGAAAAGTTAGTAACGTAGCAACCGGTATAAAATAAAATGGAGCGGTCAAAAAATAAACACAAGTTTAACATCAGCTGACTTTTAACAAATTATTATTTGCATTCAATAATTTGTAATTCTGAGTCTAAAATTTGTGAAATAAATTTCAAGTTTGATATTACCGGAGTGGGCAAGACAAGGAAAGATTTTAGATGAACAATGTCTTGCTTTAAGAAATGAAATAAATTATACAGTTTTTATTTTTAATTTCCCTTGACATTGCATGAATGGTTCATTATAAAATAATATTTGAAAGAAAACTGCAAAATTAATCCAAATAGATCCAGGGTTTGCTGACCCTTGTGCTTGCATATAAATTTAAAATTAATAAATATAAACAAAATTTCTGCTTAGTATCAACACCTATGTAGGATATCCCTTTCAGCTGGAGATTGTAAACATCAACAGATATCAGTGGATTCTCAACATGGATTCACCACTGAGCTCTGTGCCCAAAAAAAAAAATAAATACATATTGTGATTGTAAGTTTAGCGGACAAGTTTCAAGCCCTACCAGGTAAAAGTAGGCGAGATTTATTATTAATTATTTCATAAAATATTTTATAATCTGTGATGAGGGAATTTGACAGGACTCTATTAACAACATGTATTACCATTTGATACTAGCAGTTATAAGTATTTTTACCTTGCTGTTTTAATTTTTTTTAAAGAAAAAAAAAGTCAAAATCATTTTTTTTAAATTACATATTTGACATTAAAAGTTGTGCAATAATAATCATTACAAACTTGTAAAGAGATCAGGTATCATTTGAGCCAAAAGGTATGGCATACTAGTGCATTCCCATTCTGCAACATGGCAACATGTTTTATTGTGGATGATAAAAATAATTTCTACCAATCTATATACAGAGCTATTTGTCCTCAAACTCCTCAAATTGTACAATGTCATCTCAAAATCTTACAAGACAGTATCTTAAATCGTAAATAAATAAACACACAGTATATAAAATGAATATAATAACCACTCATGTCTAGTGGGATCGAGTTAAGCTAGCGTCAAAAAAAGGTAACGTCTAAAAGTAGATGATAGTACAGTTTGATAACTAGGCCTACCACAAGCTGTAAATGGGTGAAAAAAAAGGTGTAATTAAAAATCGTACATCTGTTTTGTGCATTCTAAAAAAAGATTTCAAAGGCCCTCTCAGATCCTATAAATATGTCAAAAACTTATGCTGCTGAGAATGCTTCTGCACTTATCGCAGTTCCACCTTAAAAAAATAATTATCACAAAATTACGCCACACAGCTTTATGACAAATAAACCCAAAGGGCCATCTATGGTAAATAGGCAAAAAAGGTTAAGTTTCCAACCCCTCCTCCTTGTTGCAAGCATACTTTTTTTTTTTTAAAACCCCCCCCCCCCCTTCTCTTTTTCTATACCCTGGTATGGGTTGTTGCAGCTTTCTCACAGGGGCGTGAAAAATTACATTTTTATAATTTTATTTCCATTTTTTAATCCAATCTAACAACTAGTTCTCGTGGTTCAAACATTAACTCACTTAAGTAACTAATGTTTGCTGTTACTAGATGGCGCTTATGTGTTATATTCATTTTAACCCAAACTTTTATTTTATTTATGTATTTGTTATTTTGAGGTGTACTTGTAAGAATTTAAGACCTGAATTTGGGCTTTTTTAAATACCATTTTTATAACCACTTGTGTCGCCCAGCAAAATATAAGTCACAAATGCGTTGGACATATGGTGGACTAAATATTACCGTAATACCTCTACTTATTACTACTATCTGAGTATATCTAGTGAGTTCATTTGTGAAAATACATGACAACATTATGACAATAAAAGTACAAAAACATTGCGTGTTAAATTTACAACACTCAAGATATAAATATGCAATTTTCGGCCTTTCAGGATGAATGGGGTGGAATTTTTGAATAATGTACGTACTTTCGGCCAAGATACAACATCCCCCGCCCCCCCCCCCCCCCCCCCTCAATTTTCGGCCTTTCAGGATGAATGGGGTGGAATTTTTGAAAAATGTACGTACTTTCGGCCAAGATACAACATCCCCCGCCCCCCCCCCCCCCACTGGGCCATATGCAAGTGAAGGCAAAATTTAAAAAATCGACAACCACCCTTTCCCTCCCAGTGTGAAGATACTGTAAGAGTGGCCCTAGATTGACTAAAATTGTCACTAGGGTGAATACGCTTATATTACTCTTTCAATTTCTAGAGAGTTCGTTCATCATGAAAACACAAAGCAACCATATGATCATCACCACTATCACAGAGCAGTGGCAAGCAAAAACAAGCTAGGCCCTGGACATCTTCCCCAAAAATTATAATATATTAATACAGGATTTCGGCATCTGGGGAATGTGCCCCCTTGACTATGTATACATAAACTTAATGGGCTGATTTTGGGTTAGCAGTAAGGTCAGTGATGTGTTCCACAGAATTGATGTTAATAACGTAAATAATAGAACTTTCTGGTAAATTCTAGATCAGCCCTGATTGGAGTGAATATTATTAGGCTACTCTGAAATTCACCAATAAATAAATATGGATTATGAAAGATATAACTACAACGAAGTGTCTACACGTCCGGCGCGCCGGACAAATAGTGCGCGTGATATACGCCAGGCAGGCATGTCACGTGACCGCCGGACGACTAGTAGTCATTATTATTCTGAAGGAAGTATCTATTAAGAAGATCTTGTGTGGTCTTGTGATAGAGTGGCCGCTTGACGATATTATATTTGTGGATCAACTCACAATATGGAGACCTTTTTTTTCCCCCTATTGTAATTAAAAATATTTTATATTATATTTATATTATCATGTTCATCAGCAACAGTAGTTTTATGAGAAGTTTAAAAATATTTTGTAGCAATTTAAACAATTTAAAATGAAATCTTTTACTTTTATTGGTTGCCTACTCCATACTGAATACTGGCCCCTAATTTATTTTATGGATTACTGGTACACAAACTCAAATAACAAACTAAACAAAAAAATGTTTACAAGCCACTTTCACTTTTTTTTTCTATTATTTGCATGCAAGAGACTCAGTACATTACTTGGTAGAGAAATAGATTTGAAAATTAACAATAGTTTTGAATCATTCGCGGTAACATGACAAGGCTGTTGGACAAAGAATATCTCACCACTTTGTTGCGGCGTTCATGTGACTTGGTCACCGGACGAATATCTCGATAAAGTATTCTTCCGGCGGTCATGTGACTTAGTCGCCGGACAAATAGTGCGAGAGATATACGTCCGGCGCGCCGGACATGTAGACACTGCCTAACTACAAAGCTTGGCCTGGCCTATGTCCATCCATTCACAGTTAAGGCTGTACTGTACAGTTCAGTATTACTGTTACTGCCTGGAGTTAATTTAACACTAATGTAGTGTCGTAAGGTTACATGCCAAAAAATGAAATAATCTATTTATATGCACCTGCACTGTTACCATCTATAGCATATAGGTCCATGGACTAAAAATAATAATTAGGTATGGTAAAATATTGTATGTAACGACGTGTATGTTAGTGTTAGTATGTTACTAGTTAGTCAATAGGCCCAACAAGTCAAGTATGAGGGTGAATGTTATGAAGATATTTCTAGTATTTTACAAAATTGTCAACATCAGTATCTTTAAAAGCTAAAGACTAAATGAGTAGAGAAAATATTGCTCCTTTTCAAGTTATTATTATTAATTACTACAGTCTAGTATGATTATGATATTACTGAAAAACTGTAGTCTGTAGTTACTATCATTTCAACTATCATTATCATCATTATAATGTTATTAAATGACATTGCATGTTATTATGCTCATTTCTGTGATGGTACTGCACTGCACGAGTATACTTATAAAATTATATATATTAATGATTTAAAACACTCCTTAGTAACTTTTTGCATAACTTGGCCAAAAACTCTTCAACTCTTACTTGTCAATCACTTCCTTACGCATTTTCAATTTTGCGGTACAGAAACGAGAAATCCCTTTATTTAATTTTCAAGGAAACATTGCACTCCCATTAAAACAATAGCGAGAGGATTATAAAAACAACAATACATTGTTATCTCACCCATAATTCTATTCCCCAGCTCATGGCTATAAATGACCCGTAGCAGATTAGGATGATCTTCGACCATACACTTCGTTCTCCTCCTTCCACCTTCCACCTACTTTTCGATTATCAATCTAACATGGCGGAAGATGACTCACGTATCATCTCGTTGGAGAGCGAGAAATGTTGAATAAAATTGTAGAAGGGAACCAGAGGATAAGTAATGTTAAGTTTGTTGTAATAACTCTCTTCAGTCGTCTTCAAATATATCTTCTTAGCAATATAAAAGCTATGGGTTTTCCATTCAGCTAAGCGACAAGTGTTGCACTAAATATTTACATACTCCAAAAAATGAATACATCACTGATCACAAAATGGGTATCACGACACAAAAGGGACATAATGACAAATAAAAATGTATTCAAACTCACTAGGAATAGCATCCCCTTACTATAAGATATAACTATGGCTCTCGGATTCTGTGATTTAAATATATCTACAAGGGCACCCGCAGGAATTTGCTGGGTGGGGGTGCCAACAAACTGCGTAATCAAACTGGTAATATCAAATGTCATATATATTATCTTTATACATAAAATTACCAACAAATACTCCTACGCGAATGGCTGGATCTTGACAAAACTTAGTACGTATGCACTTGATTTTGATTATCCATATTCAAATACCGAATGGTGCTGAAATCATAAAATCCACTCCTTTGGGGTCGGAGCCCCATTTCACTTTCCATAATATAAACAATAGGAAGACCAATAGGCGTACACAACACTATATGTTTATGTGTATTAATGAATCTAGGCTTATGGCATTTTGAAAGCGTTTGTAATAGGACAACTTTAACATTTTAATACCGCTAATATGTGTGCGTGATATTTTTAGGGGGCTATCTGAACTATCTCAGGCATACCTAAAACGGGACTTTAATGGAATCTGCCCCACCGTTTATGGTTGTATTTATGGTACTTATAATGTTTGTAATAGGATAAATAATTACACAAAAAAAAAAGTAATTTTTCACAAGTTTAAAGCAGTTGATGAAATGTAATCCACGGAGAAATATAAAGGGATCTAAAAGGTAATTTAAATGTTTGTTAATTTTTGTTTACAGTTACATAGTAGAAACTTTGTCACGCTTTTTTGAAAACGTGTCATGTGTGAGTGGGAGGGAGAGAGGGGGTGAGGGAGAGAGGCGAGTTACTTTCCTGCCGCGATCCATAAGATCGAGCTCTTACATAATTGCTTACACAACATGGGAGTTGTTTACAATCAGAAAAAGTAAATTTGAAACAATTAAATGACTATAATTATTTCGTTGCGACTGAAATACACCACCAATGTACAGGTCTACAATATGCACAACTGCTGGAGGCGTGAAGGAATCAATAACTTGACCTCATCACAGAGCCTCATCATGTCCTCAAGACCAAACCCAGACAAACAGCTTAGATCTTAAACATTTCTATAAAACAGTTCATTTATTTTAAAATTAAAATAATAATAAGTAAAATACATTTTTTTTAAAAATGTTTTAGGCCAATTTATATGTATCTTAATTCTGAAAAGTTCTTCTTTTGAAATTTAAAAATATCAAAAGAATGAGTTTCAAACCAAACTTAATATCACTGCTTAGTTGGGTTTTTTTAATTGTTTTTTTTTTTTTTGTTGTTTTTTTTAATGTGGAAATCCAAATCGGATTGTAGTGGCATATTGGAAACTGGGAGATTCTTTTGATTTGTAAAAAAAATTAGATTTTCCAGAACTTCTGGACGTGGAGAGTTGCGTAGCTTGTGTTTAGTAGGTTTTGCCACTCTTTGAGCTTTCCCCCTCCCCACTTTTACACAAAACGTACGAAATAATACGCAAGAAGCCAAAATTATCGGACTGACACCTCACACCCCCTCAAATTAGTTTCATTAAATCATAAGCCTTTCCGACATTTATGCTTCCGACACTTGCCCCCCCCCCTCCGGGATTGATTTGATAAAAAAATGTTTGATAAAAATAGACAAAAAGTTTATTAAAGTAAAGAGATAATAAAGAGAAAGTAACTAAGCTGATGTCCTTCCGTTCGTTAACCATACAAATACGCTACAGTAAATTAAAACTATATTAAAACATTACTAAAAAAAATTTGCCCCCCCCCCCTGGAAAGTCAATCGATTTTTTTGCCCCCCCCCCCCTAAAAAGTTTTCTGCGGGCGCCCATGTTGTCACCCATTGCGGTCCACTCCCCCCCCCCCCTTTTTTTTCCAGCTGCACCACTGGCCATACATTTGTATTACGAGTTCTGGATGTTTTGTAAGTAGTATTTTCGTGAAGAAATAATTTGTAATATCCTACAACTACTTCTATTCAGACAGGAATCTCTTATTTATAGTTTGCTTGTAGTGTGTCCTGCTTCCTCTTCGAAACCGTTCCCTCTCCAACTCCACATGTTTTATATTAATGACGATGATTGATTGAAAACTTTCATAGCGCATGTGTCCATGATATGTTAGCATGATCACAGCGCTCAGATGTCCTAAAATAGTTTTAAAGAAAAAAGTCTTTAAATGTTTCTTAAATGATTTTTTAACAAAAAATTATTTTCAATTTCCCTCAATGATTGAGACAAACTTTTCCATATTTTAGGCGCAATAGCTTCAAAGCGCTCACTCCGTATGAGTTCTTTCTGTGTCCATCCACACTGGGAACTTTCAGTAAGGACTGTGTTGAAGAGCGCCCTCCGTATGCCTTCTTTCTGTGTCCATCCACACGGGGAACTCTCAGTAGGGACTGTGATGAAGAGCGCCCTCCGTATGCCTTCTTTCTGTGTCCATCCACACTGGGAACTCTCAGTAGGGACTGTGTTGAAGAGCGCCCTCCTTATAACTTCTTTCTGTGTCCATCCACACTGGGAACTCTCAGTAAGGACTGTGTTGAAGAGCGCCCTCCGTATGCCTTCTTTCTGTGTCCATCCACACGGGGAACTCTCAGTAGGGACTGTGTTGAAGAGCGCCCTCCGTATGCCTTCTTTCTGTGTCCATCCACACTGGGAACTCTCAGTAAGGACTGAGTTGAAGAGCGCCCTCCGTATGCCTTCTTTCTGTGTCCATCCACACTGGGAACTCTCAGTAAGGACTGTGATGAAGAGCGCCCTCCGTATGCCTTCTTTCTGTGTCCATCCACACTGGGAACTCTCAGTAAGGACTGTGATGAAGAGCGCCCTCCGTATGCCTTCTTTCTATGTCCATCCACACTGGGAACCCCCAGTAAGGACTGTAATGAAGAGCGCAGGTTATGTAGGGAAACATGTTTGGAAATCAGTTTTTGGTGGTATTCAGGTGCAGAGCCTTCTATGCAGCTAGTCGCCAGGGACACGATTTGTGTGGTCAATGCGCTCACTCTCAGGAAGCCAGTGGAGATCTTTAAGAACTGGGGTGGCGTCGTCAGATTTTCTTACACGCGATACAATGCGTTCTGCAATATGTCGTACCTTCTGGAGTCTCTGACTTTGGTTTTGGGGGTTCAATGAGTGGGGGGGGGGGAAGTCTATCAAGCATGACATGTGAATTCAGGTACAATAGAATTATTTTGGTGGAGGTGACTATTGTTATTAAATTGATCAATGGAGAGCCATGGTTATTTTGTACATAAGACTCTATAGGACTGTTGTTTATATGCCGACAGGTAGTCTGTAGGACTATTGTTTAAATCCGGCAGGTGGGCTCTAGGACTATTGTTTAAATGCCGGCGTATATTGTAGAAAATGAGAAGTTAACTTTTTTTTTTCTTTTTTTTTTTTTTTTTTTTGGCTCACCCGGGTTTTTTTTCCTCAAATTTGGACCCGGTTAAACCCAGATAACTTGTTATGTTAGATTCAGTATACCAACAACTAAACACTGCCCCTACGACAGCTCCCCACCTCGGGGCCCGTTTTCTATTTGTGGATGTGTAGCAAGTCTCGAAAAGAACATACAGAATTTGAAAACAACACTATGAAAATAACGACATTTTTTCCCCTGTTGATAGCTATTCATTATTATTGACAATTCTTGTTTTTATTCGTTATGTTAAAAATCATTTAAAAACAAAATAAAATCTTGTGCATACGATGACCTTGTACAGATGGTCACTCATATAAACTATGCTGAATTGTTTGATTGCTTTGCTTGTTCCGCTCTTTCCGTGTGGCTGTCTCTTTATTCTCTTCTCTATACCTTTGATTGGTTTTGTTGCATTCCTTCCGGGTAGCAAAGGTCAAGGTCATGTATTTACCTTGATTATAGACATTATTTTTATTTTTTTTTTTTAAATTGTGCTGCTGTTAATAGGACCGGTAAATATTTCGGCTAAAGGGGCCGGTAAATGGACCGGTTAAAATTGCCGGTTAATTGGCCGGTTAAAATGGCCGGTAAATGGACCGGTTAAAATGGCCGGTTAATGGGCCGGTTAAAATGGCCGGTAAATGGACCGGTTAAAATGGCCGGTTAATTTTAAAACTCATCTTCAAACGCCGCGTCATCACTTTGACGTGCGGCTTCATTATTATCTCCCTTACAATCACGGCTTCCATCGCTGTCACAGCTTCCATCGCTGTCGCAGCTTCCATCGCCGTCGCAGCTGCCTTCGTTGTCACAGCTAGCGTCGTTCACGCAGTCGTCGTTGTTGCAGCCGACACCGTTGTCACTGCTTTCGTCGTTGGCGCAACAACTACCATCACTATCGGAGCTGCCATCGCTGTCGCAGGTGTCGCAGCTGTCACAGCTCCCATCGCTGTCACAACTGCCGTCCTCCGAACATTTGGCATCGTTGTTGAAGCTATCGGACTCTCCGACGTTAACTTCGCTTCCCGAAATGCCTTCAGGATCCTGCTCGTATCCTTGACCTTCGATCTCTTGTTCGCTTCCGTCATCTCGTCTCTCCACCGCGGCATGCTCCCAATCATCGTTCTCGTTGTCTTTGACGCTCACCTCTATCTCCTCGTCATCAGTCTCGCTTTCTTCCCCGTCATTACCGAAGAAGACCGCATTGCCCATTCCGTTGTTATTGGCAGCAGCGTTTCCCTGATTTAGGCCCCCGAGGGCCATCGCCGCCTCTGAAAATGACAAGCTTCCCTTCAACATGGTGACGTCCTCATCAATGTTGTGAACACTCGTGTCCAGGCAATTCTCTCCTCTTATATCTTCGTCCCACTTTTCACTTGTTGCAGATGTGCAGTTTTGGGAATCATCGACCGTTTCGTTCGAGCACCTGTCAAGTTTGATGCCGCCGTCAGGTGAGATCCCGGTGTTAGCGGGGATTCCCAGACACGGCGTGGTTCTCAACTCCCCGCTGAAACATCTGTTTCCGGGAGCCGCGCTCCTCTTGTGGTGAGCTTTGGTTCGGAACCCGCACTGCTCGGCGTAGCACGGCCGTTTGTCCTGCATCATCTGCTCAAAGGATGACATGATATTACTGCCGGGGTCTTGGTAATATGAGCCGCCAGACAACCGGCTGTCTCGGCCGTTGTCAGAGTCCGACTTGAAGCCGAACGGGCTGAAGACAGGTGAAACCCTGTACGAGTCTTTGGGACCTAAGCCGTCGGTGTCGAGATCTTTGCAGTCGCTGTTCCAGCGACCAATGTTGTACTGGTCCGTGTACAACGGCTGACTCACCGACTCGCTGGCGTTGTTTCGTTTGTTTCTCTTCTTTATGGCGTCAGAGTAATGCGTCAGAACCTTGTTGGAGTCTTCAGCCTGTTGGAAGGGCAGCGGGATCCTCTCGCCGACTGCCCAATTGTCGTCCGGTGTAAGTAGGCCGTTGGATTTAACTAGTGCACTCCGCTCCTTTAAATGGCTGCACTGGCTCAGCTCACTTGCTATGCACACCTTCGTGTGCTGCGAAGTGCAGCTGTTCGTACCGTGACCCAGGCCGTAGGGCGCGGTATAGTCGGATAACGCAGTCTCAGAAGAGTGACGCTCTCCCAAGTGAGACCGGGCGCTCATCTTGACCGCGCCCTGGCTTAGTGACGTCGTTTGTGTTTTAGACTGCTCAGATTTCGTTTTGTAGTTTGTGCACTGTGAAGGGGTGGTGCTCAGCGCGTCCTGTCCATTCTCCAATTCGTACGTGACCTTCTTCGCCGATCTCCGTTTTTCAATATACCCCCCATTGATTGCCTCCTCAAAGCTAGATGCTGAAATGCTGTAATCTAAGGTGCCATCGCCGTCCATAGATTTGGCGTACAGCTTTCGAGGAGTCCGCTGCGGTGGACAAGCGTGTGTCTTTGACTCGCCTTGGGCGTTGCTAACGTCCGGCCTGTGAGACTGGAAAAACATATCCTTGACACAGTCGACCAGGTTGAGCGATGCGATACTTTGCCGGCTGCATAAAGGGGAAACCCGCCCCCGACTTGTGGCCCAGCGTCTCGTTTTTCTGCCGGATATGTAAGATAAATTTTGGGGTAAGATGCTTAAGAATTCGCTGCTGGATTCATTGCTGGGTGTCTTGGCGCTCTCTTTGGTGTTCACTTCAGGGGAGTCCTCGTGTTTCTCCTTGTCGTCTTCAGACGAAGGCGTCACGTTGGAGTTGTTGTTGGCGGTCCCCGTTTCGTACTGCAGGAAATCGTTGCTCACGCCTCTGGGGATCGGCGGCTCTCTTCTCGCCTTTTCGCCACCCGCGTGTGCTACGTGTTTTTTATGCGACCTCAATCGGGTTCGCTGCGGTTTACTGGGAGCGGGCATAGAGTCGGGCGAGACGTCCGCTTCAATAACCGTATCGCACCACAGCCTGCGCCAGTCTTTGGAAGAAGCCGGGCTGAGGCTCCTCTGATCTCCCGATCCCCGGGGAAGGAATCCAGATCCTGATTCGCTCACGGTGCTGTCTTGAAATTTTCTGAAACTTTCGTCGACGCTCAGCTCGGATCCTCCGCTGGTCGACGCCTGAGACGTTCTGGCCCCCGACGCGTGCTTACCGCCATCATCAAAGCTTTCGGTACTCCCTCGGGTATCGGCGCTCACTGTGACGTGTGGGAAAGTATGGTTCACGCAGTCTAAGCCCTGGTGTTTGCTGACCAGGGGATCAATGTTTTGTATCCTATAACTTTTAGGCTTGACCAGCTTAGTGGGAATAAACTCCATGCGGTCGAAAGTTTCATCTTTTAACTCCATCTCGCGGGGATCGTTTTTGGTCATGTTGGTCGTGGACTGACCGTTGAATGATCCACTAGTGACCTTGCAGTCATGATTATTCAGGTATTGTCCCTTGTACCGCCCATCAGACTGACAAACCTTCGGGGCCGTATTGAACTCTGTTTGCGGTTCTGGGTATCTCTCGTACATGTGCACTTGAAGTTGAATGCCTTGCTCGGGGTACTCTAGTTTGATCCCTTTGTCGGGGTCCAACTTGATCCCTTTCTTGGAGAAGTCTTCTGTTGTTTGGGACGAATAATCTCCGGCTGATAGTTTCCTATGTTCGGGTTCGTCCAAGCCTGAAATGCTCAACGTTATATTCTTCCCGTTGGATTGCTGTGGCGTATTTTTTTCTCGTGGCTTCGTTCTGATCTTACTCTCCCGGCTCAGCCCAGAGTCCGATCCCTGTCTTTGAGCTGTCTCCTCGTACATGTCATCTCCGTTCTTCAGCTTTCTGTTGTACGTCGGGGCGTTCACGTTAGAATACTGGAAAGTATCGTCGCTGTTTGACTGGATCAACTCTGACGGATCTTCCTCCATCGAACACAGGGTGTGGGATACCGACTTCGGGGTCGGGATTTCGCCGGCGTTTCTTTCTTTGAACTCTGAGTAGTTTTCGTCTGGCTCGAAAACTTTTCTTATGGCTCCCTTGGTCGGAGATTTGGTGATCTCAATGCGGTAAGTGGGCTCGGGACTTTCCGCCACGTTCTTCGCTTTCTTGTCGGAGTTCTTTGGATTTTGATGACCGCTCTTGTCGATGATGAGCTCCATGATCTTCTCGTAGGGGGTCTCAGCATACTGTCTCTCACGTTTTGTCGTTTCCTCCTTCAGCACGTAGCGCTCGGTACTATTAGTTTGGCGGTATTTATTTTCTTCCACACCTGACTGTTCGTGATTATTCACCTGCTGCTTTCTGCTCCCATCCACGTTTCTTTCAGTGCCGCTCACGGCATTCTTGGCATTCTGGCGTGCAGACACCTGTGTTCCATTCTGAGAGCCACCCCGAGACGTTTGAGTGGTGACTTTTGGAGCTGTATGTTCATAATTTGAGATCACGGGTCCTGGATTTGGCTTTTGTTTCTTATTTGAAGTCTGCTCGCTAATCTCGACTTGTGTTGCTTTTTCGGAGCTGCTGGCAGATTCCTTTCTCGGGCGCTTCTCGGGGAAGTTGGGATTTTTCGACTTCGTCGTGCTGGTAACCCTTCTTTGTGGGTTGTTGTTCTCTCCTGGATATTTGAGGACCGAGGCGGTATAAAATCTCAGCGGCGCCTCTTGGTTCGAACCAAACAGCTTCATCTTTCGGCAAACAATGCTCTGCGGTATCAACTGTTTTCTGTTAAAATATGTGGGGTTTGGGTTAAGCTTAGTTTCAGAATCACTTGCTTTCCCATCTTTGCCCTGAAAAAACTCGGACAGTTTTTTATTGGCCTGAATTTTGTCAAGGGCATCGGAGGAAGTCGGCTGGCCAGAGTTAACCCTGTGGGCACATTCTTGAACGAGGGCCTGTCGGGGAGCACCGCCTAGGGCCTGTTGAATTAGTGACCCAGGTGAACAGCAGTTTCGGGAACACGCATCACCAAAGTTCTGTCTTGCATCGGAAGGCGACACTAAATGCGTTACGCACGCGAAAGAATGCGCAGTCTTCATGAGTTCGCCCACTCCTACTGTGTTGCTGCACTGCTTTACTCGTCCTAAATCTTCTTGCACCGAATGTGAACAGAGCCGTGATTCGATATCCTTCTGTTGGCTAGAGTGCTTCGTCTGGATTGAAGAATCGCCGTCATCAGAGCGCCTATCAACATAAAGAGGGGTCGAGTCTGTACTCAGCTGGTCCGGGCTGGCGAAGGACATAGTTTCTCCGCTTGAATACTTTGAGGCCGACGTTGTGTCGCCCGGTGGGTTTCTAAAGCCGGACAAACCTCCTCTGTCCGAGCAATTATTACTGAGGGCGTACGCCGTGTCGCCAGACGAACAGGTCCGAGTTGGAATCGACTCTTCGCATCCCAAGGGTGTCTCACGGACACGACTGGACGCCGAGGTCCACAGCAGGTGGACATCGTCGACCATTTTTTCAATATCCTCCCGGGTGGCTTGATTCACCTTCTTGTCGCTGAGGCTTGGTTTTGGCTCGTAGTCTTCACCAAATGCCTCCATCGGCGAACGCCAGCTGCAGACCGACTCATCAGACTTGACAGATTCTCTGAATTTCACGCTGCCGTGGTTATCAGAAGAGCTTCCTACACTTGCAACACGACTGGACTGGAGCGTTGATCGTCCGTTGAATTTTGGTGTAGCTTCATTGCTTCCCCTCAGCTCCGAGTCCGTTTCCTCCCACGTGTCTTCGTCATTTCGATTGTCGCTGACCATCCCGCCGCTCTCCATTTTGCTCCACGCGTCTTCGGATCCCGGTGGCCCGTGAGCTTGGAACAGCTCGCCTTTGGCCTTGGTGTAGCGTTTATTGCCGGAGTTGAAGTGTTTGTTTTTCCAACATCCCCAGCACGGCCCGGCCATCTTTAGCGGGCTGCTGATTTTGTTGAGGGAGATCGTGTTCTGAGGCACGGATTTGAACCGCAGCTTCTCTGGGGAATCAGGACGGCACTTGAGGCTCTGCTGGTGCTGCGTTGAATTGTCCTCGTCATTTTCGTTCTGGTTGAGAAGTTTCGGAGACCGCTTTCTGCTGGACGCAACTCTCAAGTTTTGCGACTCGCGGTCACTCTTATGAACTTTGAACTGCTTGCTGTCCCTGGTCTTCGTGTTGTCCACCATGTCCGAATGTATCAATGGACATTCTCGGCAGGTACTTTCAACGGTTCGGGGCGTCAGTCTGGGGGTGGGCGAGTCTGAAAAGTGAGAATCCCCCTCCGAGTCCGCGGATCTGGGCATCATCTCTGGCGTAGACTTTGGGGAGAAGACTAGCCGAGACTCAGGCGTACCACGTTCCATACTCCTCGGAGTCGACTGGAGAAAAGCGTCGTCCACTGACTCCAGCTGACGTTTCAGCTTGTGGATCTCCTCGTAAAGTCTCATGATGGATGAATTCAGCTCTGTGGTGTTGAGACTGCTGTACGGATCGGTGTCCGTGCCACTGTTGTCCCTCTTCCTAACGCCGGATTTAGCCCTTGACCTTTTCCCGAGGAATTCCCGGGACTGCGGTGTCAAATTATCTTCAACATGCTGCTTTTGTTGTTGTTTTTGATTTACAACCTTGCTGGTTTTGTTCCCTCTGCTCGATGATCGCGTTGCGCTTTTCCTTTGCTCTGCATCGAGCCTGTCTCTCGCGTGCCCGGAACCCACCGGCTTAGCTTTACCGGATTTTGTCACCTTTTTGCATTTCATCGGCGAGTCAAACGTCTCAGACAGCGAGCGGTTCACACGCCTCCGCGGAGAGCCGACAGAGTCTCCACTCGAGCTCGTATCCCCGGGGGACCTCTCACGCGGCCCGCTTTTGAGAAGTGACAGCTTGTGTCTGTCTTGGTCCCCCGAGGGCATCGCCTGCCTCGGATCGGATCTCGAAAAGCGATGTTTCCTCTTTCTGGTCGCTCGTTTGCTGTCGATGACGTTGAGATCGGACGCCGACTGTCTGGAACCCTTGCTGTGTGACCTTGGCGATTTTCTGGTTTTCGATTTCTTTCGCTTTGCGGGGCTCTCCTGTACCGACTTGACCGCCTTCACACTTCGCGGCTCAACGAAAGTGTCATCAACGGAAAACGGGGGGTCGCTTTCGGGACTACTTTGGCCGGGAACAAGAGTAGATCGCTTTATGTAGTGTGTTGTAGAATAATAAGCCTGCTCGTCTGCCTTCAACTCGGCTTTCGCGTCCGCCGGTGCACTGCTCGGTACCGGCGGACTGATCGGTACCGGTGGACTGCTCGGTTGAGCGGTCGTGTTATCGTGCGTTTCCGTAGTTTGTACCGACTCGTCGACGAGCCTTCCGGTCTTCTCGACATTTTCGTCCTCCGGGATAGCCTTTTTATCCACAGGGACGTCTTCTATATCGAACTCGCTGTCTCTCTGCGCCTGCTCCTTCTCGTACTGCTTTCTGGCCCTCTTGTAGAGCTCGTAAGCCTCATAGTCGTCAGTGGAGCCTTTCAAATTGGCGAACACCGAGTCCTTATCTTCGGCCATGAAAAGCCGCGTAACCGGAACTTCGACCACTTTGTTTCCGCTCCCACTGGCGTTTTCCTCGCCGCCAAACAATTCCTCTACGTTCGACTTCGCGGGTTTTTTCAAACCGAAGTAATAAGCGAACGGGTTTAACTTCTCGTAGGCGCTTTTGAACATACTCGTGACCCTGCCGGGGGATGACTCGGTGTTCCCCGTAGGACCGGCTTCGACCACCCCGCCAGATTTTGCCCGGTCCTGCTGAAGGATTTCGGCTTTCGGCTTGCTGCCGTCGTCGTTGTCGGCTGCGGCGATAACTTTGCACTTGCCGTCGGGGAGGATGTCCCACACGACGGTTTCGTTCATATTGCAGCCGGCGTTTTTGGGCACGTTGCAGAGATTGTTCTCGACGAGCCGCGTGCTGAACTTCCTGGCTGGCTCCGTGGACGCCTGCTCGAAAAACGCATCCGGCATCTGGGACAGACGTACCGGGCGGTTGACGGCCTGCCGAATGTCGTGGCCGCTCTCAGATCGTGGCATGCCCGTAAGGATCAGGTGCTGCTCTTCCTCGTGGCTTAAACTCTTGCCCTTCATCTTGTAGCCAAACAGTCTTCGCCGCTCGCCATTTCTTCCACCGATTTTGTGCTTGTGTTTCTTTTTGACGATCTTCGGCTTGTACTTGAGCATATCGTCGTCGTCGTCATCCTGGAGGGCGTGCTCGTACGTCTTGTTCCTGCCGGTGATGTTGTTGTCGTCGCTGCTCATTTGATGGTGCAGGGAAAGCTCGCCATTGTGTGTCGGGGGATCGTTCGGCGCATTCTCGTATCTCCCTTTGCCGCGCCTGAGGCTGATTGGCTTTTTCTTCTCGAGCTCCATCGTCGCCGCGAGCTCGTCGTCCGATGAACGCTCGAAATCTTCATTGTCATCCACCGAGTGACTCAGCAATTTCTCAATCTTCGCCAGATTGTTCTCCCTGGCAGCCAGGTTTTTTCTGGCGTCGATGTAAGACTTGTACTGGTCCGTTGTTGCCATGCCAACATCGGCGTCATTTACGCACGTGGCGGAATAGACCTCGCACGTCCAGCCTGTAGAGTTCGGGACGTGAGTGGTCATCTTGTCGACCCACTTGGTGCAAGTCCAATGTGCCCTTGCCCCTTCGTTACGACAGGCGTCAATCGTGGACGGCCTGCTGTGCAGCGCGTCTTTGGTTTCGCTAATGATGTCTCTAACGCTACAAGACCTCATCTTCTCGGAATCACCCAGCCGCTCAGGAATATTATCAAAGCTCCTCCTGACTCCGGTGCTGGTGGGCTTGAACTGCGAGGTCTCCTCGTTTCCGTCAGTGATCGGTCTTGGTTCTCGTTTCAACAACGCCTTGTAGTGATCTCTCCCGTTGCGACCCTCTTCGTGATCCTGGAACTTCCCGTCATCAGACTGGCCCCCGACCTCCTGGACGTCATCTCTGAAAACCCGATTAAATTCTCTCAGCTCTTGAACGACCCTCTTGTTATCGTGCGTGCACGTGATCTGCTCTATCGTATCGCTCGGGCGGCTGTTTGATGTTTGGCAAGAGTCTAGCCCCCTATCCTCCAAGATGGTCGGTGGTGGCACATTTCTTTCCTGAAACGCCGCCTCTTTTTGCATCTTACTGATACCGTACGCCTTCTGGCCGGTGCTTTTCTTAGGGCTGGGCTGTTTCACTGGGCTTGGTCGATTCACTGGACTAATCATGCGCAGAACTCCGTTTTTGGTGCTGATGGCGTAGGTGTCTTGCGTCTTCACGTGAACCGGCGCCTGATCCCAGTTGTTGTCGTGAGGCGTCAAACGACGTTTAGCGTCCCGCGTGACCTCCCTCTTGCCGCTCAGTGGGGGACCGTAGCGTGTCGTTGTATTTTTAACTGCAGCGCCGTCGGCATCGAAGTCGTGATCTTCATTCAGCCTCCTGACGTGTCTAGGTCGGCTTTTCCCGGAGTTCTTCAGAGCGTTCGAAAACGCAAAGTTGTCGACTTCTTGCCGGGGTAAGCTTCTAACAGAGCACAAATGGCCATGCAAAAGGGAATCCTCTTCTCTTTTGCTGATGTTTGACACCGAGTAATGTCCAGTCGGCTGGCCATGGACCCACTGCCTTGAGAAATCGTCCGATTTAATTTCAGTCAAGGGCGAGTAGAGGGTAAATCCCCCGTTGGAGTGGAGGTCCCTTTCGTTGCTGACGTAGTCACCGTCTTGGCGTCTCCGGTCACCCTCAGCTGCGTGTTGGAAAACCCGAGTTCGTACCGGATGCCCCTTTTCATCGACAACCTGTTCAGACGCATCGCTCATCTTCCCCTTTTTATTTCTTATCGAAACGTAATTTTGCCGAAAAGGCGGATTGCCTCTGGGGCAGTAAGGCTCACCTTGTTCGTATTCCATTATACAAGAAAAGATCCACTGCTGACTCAAGATCACGTGGTTATAGTAGGAAGTAAAAAGAAAATCGATGGATTACGCTCAACGGATTCAACGAAATTTTGGCTCAAAATTATCCTAACGACATTAAAGTCCTGTTAATCGGAAATTTGGAACAGGAATGACTTGACTTTTAAGTAAAAAAATAACTGTTTCTAGGCTCAAGATGGACGACGAATTCAACAAAGTTTTTCGATGGTTACCGATCGTTTCAGCTGGCAGAGATCAATAAAATATTACCTTGCAGTTTTTTTTAAACAATATTCTTAATTCAGTTCTAGACTTAATCGACAGTTCGTAATTTTGAGTATGGAATCGACCCATTTTTTGTAATAATATCTTTGTTTTAATGTAAAGACACAGCCAATGTAAGCAGCTTAGAAATGGCCAGCGCCATTTTGATTTTACGCACAATCTCGTGACGTTTTGTGTGCGCCATCAATTGATGCGCTTTCCCTGCAAAACATGTATGTCTAAACCACCGTGCCATCAATTGATGCGCTTTCCCTGCACAACATGTATGTCTAAACCACCGTGCCATCAATTGATGCGCTTTCCCTGCAAAACATGTATGTCTAAACCACCGTGCCATCAATTGATGCGCTTTCCCTGCAAAACATGTATGTCTAAACCACCGTGCCATCAATTGATGCGCTTTCCCTGCAAAACATGTATGTCTAAACCACCGTGCCATCAATTGATGCGCTTTCCCTGCAAAACATGTATGTCTAAACCACCGTGCCATCAATTGATGCGCTTTCCCTGCAAAACATGTATGTCTAAACCACCGTCAAAAGTAACTGAATAAAAAAATAAAGAGTTGTTTAAAGAAACGTCATTATTTTTAAAACGATACGTTTGGCGCATTGTGCTGGGTGGCGGCCGAGTGGTCTAAACTGGGTCAATCTCAAGATCGTGGTCTGGAGTTTAATCCCACCAGTCAAGCAAAAACATCACCAGCACAGCGGGTGGATGGCAACTCATCTAAAACAAGGAAACTCTGAATTCAAACCCGGAGATGGAGTCCCGTTGGCGGATAACATTGACACAATGAAAACTCCGCCAACTCTTGCGACGCCACTGGAGCCACGCTGTATCATCAACATGGTGTTCTCTTGGGGTTATCCAGCGGCGTGGAGAGAGGCGATGTGTGGGGAACCAGCTTTATTATCTTGAAAAATTACAATCCCAGGCCTCGTAGATTTCGCACGCCATCGTCACATTGTGACGGACAAAAATTATTTGAATTTAAAACGATGAAATTATATCCAATCCAGACTTTTGTCCATAAATGTTATTTCTCCATTTGTCCTGTCCTGTCTGGAGAGGAAGGTTCTTAGCCGAAACGTTCAACCTTCATTTCAAGCGTACCTTGTTCTGCCATTCCCTTCACGCGGCTCGAACGCTGTCCTTCATTTATTATGCTTTTGCCATTAACCGTTCTTCATTTCATTTTCGCAACATTTCAACCCGCTCTTGTCATGTTTACAAGTTTTAACATATCTTCGTCCAGTCGTTTCTTTAATTAAGACCAAAACATCGTTCATATTGATTTCATTTTAATGTAACAAATGAACATCGAAATGTATTTTTTAAAGTCAATAAAGGTAGAGAGAGCTGATAAACGTGCATATCAACGACAAACCATCGGCATACGCAAACTTGTTTGTCAAATTTAGAAAACAGCGACCGGAATGGTGGAGACACAAAAAGTGTGTGTGTGTGGGCATTCATGTGACCCACCCCACCCCCCCCCCCCCCCCCCCCCCCCCCTCCTCCGCCAAACAATGGCCTTCGCATTGCTTGAACTTTCGATCTACTTCAGATACTTAACGAAACATGTATTCATTAGCGCACTTTATAAGAGTCCCAATTAGTGCTACTGTGCTTTCCCCCCTCCCCCCCCCCCCCCCCCCCCCCCCCCCCCCCCCCCAGATTTTTGTCTTTCAAAACTATTTTCAAATAAGCTATAGCCCGCCAAACAATGGCCTTCGCATTGCTTGAACTTTCGATCTACTTCAGATACTTAACGAAACATGTATTCATTAGCGCACTTTATAAGAGTCCCAATTAGTGCTACTGTGCTTTCCCCCCTCCCCCCACCCCCTTCCCGGCCACGCCACCTCACACTTTTTTTTTAAAACTCCTTGATCAATATTGATATTCTTATTCTCCATCCTTTTCTAATACCCCAGATTTATCAAATCATATTTTAATGGGAGTCGCTTAGTCAATTATTTTGTCACGTGATATGAGTAAAAACGAGTAAGATTTCCGGTAGGCTGTATACAACACACTAGTGCTTGACAACAGTAGACCGATACACACTACCACTACACTACATTTCGTCCAATGAAAATTAACAATAAAATAAACAAAGGGGAATGACTCCTTCATCAATATTGAATAAAAACGCAAATGACGTCATGAGCACGTACGGAGCTTAACAACATCCTGCCGATAATAGTATTGATAGTTCCCATCGAATATCGCTCACAAATTTTTCTTGAAATAACTTTCTTCCTTTAATCATAACTGACGTATATTTATTGTCAAATTTATGGATTTCATTTAAAAAACGCATGTATTCCAGAATATTTCGAAAGGTAACAGTTTTAAGTAACATGATATTGGGGAAGCACTGATGAAGTATCTTTTGTTGTGTGTAGCAGCCTAGTGATGGCTTACTCACATCACGTGACCAAACAAGGAAGTGACTAAGCGACTCCCATTGATGCTATTTCCGTAAAACAAAAGAAAATATTACGCACCAAACTCAATTCCGGCATTTAAAAAAACATATCCTTTAGTGCAGTTATCGGGAATTTTTATTTAGCGAAATCAGCTTTAGTGGCGTTGTTACTTAGATCATTATGTATTTTGATGTGATTATCTTTTCCTTTAATACAGCGGTTCTCATCCTTCCTAATGCCGCGACCCTTCAATACAGTTCCTCATGTTGTGATGACTCCCAACCAAAATATTATTTTCATTGCTACTTCATACACATATGTGTTTTCCAATGGTCTTAGGCGACCCCTGTGTCAGGGTCGTTCGACCCCTAAAGGGGTCGCGACCCACAGGTTGAGAACCGCTGATCTAATAATTTATTTCTATACATTTCTTCTCCTGCAACGGTTCATGACCAGATTACGCTAAGGTGGTCGCACCAAAATAATAAGGTTGTTTTGTTTTCTTTTTTTAAATTTAATTAAAAATTATTTTTTTAATGTAAAAAAAAATGCATCCCTAATATCCTACAAAATTTAATAATTTTTCAAAAATCTCTGACGGAACAGCAACTAATCTAATCCCAAATAAATGTAGGTGAATTTTTTAAGGCAATTAATAATTAAGAATTAACTTAAACATCGCCGCCTGTCACATGCGTGACAAAGGAATTCACGTTAAAATATACGTAAAAAAGAATGATAGGAAATGAGTGAAACAGAGTATGGGAAAACCCGAAAAATGGAACGCAACAAAAAAAAAACAAAAAAAACGAACGTGTCGACAGGAAGCCTTCGTCAGCAAAAAAACAAATAGTAAACACACATAATTACAATTTGAAAATAACACTTTGGTGAAATGTTGTATCCGAGAGGGCCGCAAGAGGATTGTGGGTAGCCAACGCCAGTGAGTTGGGATTCTATTGCAATCACGAGTTATATCCTCCAGCTCTGGGTGCGCAGTGTCGTAGGAATCATAATTAGCTTATAATAAAGAGTGTTGGAGTGCGATTTAGCTTTTCAAGTAAATTAATGACTTCATCGAAGTGAAAATTTAATTTATACACTTGACACATTTGCGTCTACTACACCAGGCCTTCCAACCCCCAGCTCCTGCTACCCTCGCCGTGTAGCCCTTGCAAGCAGTGAAGTATCCTCTTCAGTAGCAAGCACAGAAACATTGCGAATCCCCTCTACATAAACCGGAGCCAGAATGATCACCACATTGATCGTGGGCCCCTAAGATATTGAAGACGAATGTGTTGTTATTTGTTTGTTTGTTTTTTTTTGTTGTTTTTTTGTGTTGTTTTTGTTGTTGTTGGTTTGGTACTGATGAAGGCATTTGATGAAAGGTTTACATTTTTTTTTCTGTTAAATCATTATTAAAGTTGAATCGATATTGTTTTATTTAAACTCATTATTTACGTACTTCTCATTAATCTAGGAATTATAACGTAAAAATTTCGTAGATAAAATTAATGCAAGTTATAGAGCTTATTTATTTGTGCACCTAAAAAAAAAATTACTAACTCTACCGATGCCGAGTCTTAATTCTAGCAATGACTTTTTTCAATCCCTTATATTAACTTCGCTCTTGTTCACGACTGGCAAAATATTCAGACGGCTAATTGGCCCACTTCCCGTCAACCTATCGAGCTGCACCTGGGGACATAGACTAGATCCTGATGACAATACGTTCTTTCAAATTTTCAGCCCCTTCCCTCAAGGACAACCCACAAAAATAAGTTTTCCCTGTTTCTTAGAGGGGCAGATCAAGGCAATATGATGACACTGATTTCACGAAATACAATTCCCGATTAATTCGCTCAATGAGTTGTGTTTTTTTTTTAATCGCAAGTGTGTTTGGTCCGTAATATATAATTTTGTTTTTCTGAAATAGTTGGTGAAATCAATCTGCGGTGTTAAAGTGGATGGGTTATTTAGAATATTTTTATAGTTCAGGCGCGTGAAAACAGTGTGCGGTTGCGAGCCTGGGAAGGGGGGGGAGGGGGGGGACGTAGGGAGCCACTAATTGTGATTCTTATAAAGTGCGTTCCTTGTATGCATGTTTTTTGTTTTTTTTTCAGTCCCCCGCCCCACCCGTTGCTCCCCCGCCCCACCC